GCCCAGGCTGGAGTGCAATGGCGCGATCTCAGCTGACTGCAACCTCTGCCTCCCGGGTTTAAGAGATTCTCCTGCCTCAGTCTCCAGAGTAGCTGGGATTACAGGGTGCCCCCACCACGCCCGGCTAATTTTTGTATTTTTAGTAGAGATGGAGTTTCACCATGTTGGCCAGGCTGGTCTTGAACTCCTGACCTCAGGTGATCCGCCCAGCCTCCCAAAGTGCTGGGATTACAGGCATGAGCCACCACGCCTGGCCAACCAGATACCATTTTACCACTGATTAGGTTGGCAAAGATTAAAATCTGATAATTTCGTATCAGAAGAAATGAAGAAGAGTTAACATTCCCATATCCAGTATACAAAGATGTATACATAGAGACACGGTCACTGTCTTAATAAAAAAAAAATTCTGGAAATGGTCAAAATATTCTATGACAGGGTCCTGGATAAATAAATATGATACATCCATAGTATGGAATACTATGCAGCCGTTAAGAATGAGGTTGATCTTTATATTATATGGAAAGACCTCAATGACATACTAAGTAAAAAAGCAAGGTGCAGAATAAAAAGAATTAAAAATTCTAGAAGGATACACAAGCTACTATTAACAATACTTATCTCTAGAGATTGGGGCTGGAGGATATGGAGGATTGGAAGGAGACTAACTTCTTACTGTATATCTTTCTGTACTGTGTATTTTTTTTTTTTTTTTTGAGACAGGGTCTCCCTTTGTCACCCACGCTGGAGTGCAGTGGTATGATCATGGCTCACTGCATCCTCGACCTCATGGGCTCAAGTGATCCTCTCACCTCAGCATCCTGAGAAGTTGAGACTACAGGCAGTGCCACCATGCCCAACTAATTTTTAAATCTTTGTAGAGACAGGGTCTCACTATGTTGCCCAGGTGGGTCTTGAACTCCTGGGATAAAGTGATCCTCCTGCCTCAGTCCCCTAAGAGCTAGAATTATAAGCATGTTCCACTATGGCCAAATTTTTAATCATAATTTAAAAACTAGTTTTAGCAAATAAATGATGATGATGGCAGGAATAAACATTGCTTATGAACCTATTATTTTTCAACTACTATGTTAAGTGCTTATGTGCTTCACCTTATTTGCCTTTTCACAAAAACAGAAACAGTAAATTGGTCACTCTTATCCCCCTTTCCATGTAGTGGGTACTAAAGTTTCCAGGGGTGAAGTAACTTGCTCAAGGTGACTCTCTTACCCATCCACCTTCAATAATGAAGCAGAGTATTTACAAAATAGAGAAATACTTTGCAAACTTAAGACAGCCTGAGGCCACCTTCCTGGGGACAGCCTGCACAACCCCGCAATGATTCAAGGAGGTGAGGGGAAGGCAGGACAAAAGGCTGCTGACTGGCTGAGGCCAAATCAAATTTCTGGAAACATCTTATCTCCATATAAAAAACGGGGAGAAGTCCTGGGGACCCCAGAGCTATACATTGTTTAAGTAAATAATGCTTGCAACCAGGGACTCAAATATATAAAGCGAGTAGTTCCCTAATTAAATATAAATTAATATCAAAGGCAACACATGTGCAGTTCCATGAAGAGGAAGCTGTCTCAGATCAGCAGAATTTCAAGGTGAGAGCAGGGGCTGAGAAGTATCCAGAATAGTCTCCACACCTTAGGACGGTGCTGTGCCAAGAAAGTTTACTGTCTTCTCATTCCTCCATTTTTTCCAATTTTATTAAGAGCCTTATTATTTTTGGGTAATAGACTGTAGTAACATTTTTAAATGCTAAATTTTATTTGTCCTAGGGTCTGCCAGCACATGCTGTAATTAAAATGTTGATTAGTAAACAGTTTAAATATATGACAGACAATGCAGTTAAGGCCTACCGTTAGGTCAATATGTGATTTAGATTTGCCATTTAAAAAATCTCATTTAAATTTTGCATACATTAATCACTACCATACTTCAAGGTTCTGATATCCACCTGACTACAATATTAAAATAAAACTTGCTGCCCCAGGGAAATCCTACTTATTCTTAATTGTTTCGAGGCTTTGATGGGCTTTTAATCTAAGATTAATTTATGCAATTTTAAATAACTCTTCTTATGATTAATAAGCTTGAAAATTAAAAGGAGTCTAAAGCAATTATAATGAGCATTTGGTCATAACCTCATTAGAAGAAGGAGTGAAGGATACAGCTCTGGAATTCTTACAAGACTACAATTTAAGGTTACTTTTAGAGAAGTCAAACATAGTTCCTGAAATTGCAAAGGCAGGTTAGCAAAGGTCAGTGTTAAAATGATGGCTAGCTAGATTAGCATACTAATGATTTTCCCTGATAGTGACAGAAAGGACACAGAAAAGAAGATGCAGAAAGAGAGACAAGTGACATGCTGCCAAGCAGCTACAAGCGCTGAACTCGGTTTCCCATTCTTTTGGCTAGAGACCTTCGCAAAATCTGAGAAACAGCCAAAGGGTTAGGACATTCCTATGCATGAATCAGCTTCAGCCAGAGGGTCTGGCCCACCTGGGGCAGGCAGAATCAGTCCTGTTGTCTGCCCTGCCTGCCTATCTGTCTGTTATGGACCAGCCACTTTCCTGCTTAAGAACCAACAAGAGCTTCCAACTGCCCCACTACTCTCTGGTGTGGACAGCCGTTCCAGATCACACTGGCCCCAGGCAGCTAACTTTACCCCATCATTTCCAAGGGTCGTTTTTGTTTTGGCCAGGGTGGGTTCTTCACTGTCCTCGTTCCCTCCGGTCTCAGCCTGTGCCATTTTCTCTCCCTGGAATGTCTTCCCTCTTGTTACTAGCAGTGATGATGATGACAATGACAATGACGATAAAAATGGTTACCATTTATTGAACACTTATGTTATGCCAGACACTGTGCTAAGTGTCTAACATTTTTATCTCACTTGAATTTCACACTTTGCGATACTCTATTTTTGTAGGTAAGGAACCAGAGGTGGAGAGCGTTCAGTAACACGCTGCAGGATGGAGAGCTAGGAGAGGAAGGGAGAGGGAGGGGAGAAGTTGGCTTTCTGTTGTACCACCACTTTCCAAATTCTGTACTCAGGCCGGAGCCAGGCATCCTCACTGACTACTACGGCCCCTCACACTGTTCCCTGAGCTCCTGCACCACCCAAGCCAGCAGCTTGGCACTCATCCTGCCTTCTCTAAATGCTGCCAACAGGCATGTCTAGTCTGCTCCTGAGGACATAGATGTTTCTTATATTCTTTCTGAACCCATCATGGCACCTCACAGACCTGGACAACAAATACTTGTTGATTAACTGGTTTACAATAATTCTGTCCAACAAGATGCTCATTATGTTTTACCGATAATAACGGGCAGACAGGAAAAGTTACAGCTTCCAGTGAATGGGAAGGAATGTGCTTCATCTTGTTTGGATTTTCAACCACAGAGACCGCTCCAAGAGACTACCAATTCAGTGTACGCCAACTGCAAACATTCGACATACATATAATGTATTCTAAGTCACATTAAGCTTCCCTAAACACATGTATCTTCCAAGAGGCAACAAGCTGGAAATACCCAGGAACATCAGACAGATGAGAAAATCATGACCCAAAGAGGCTGAATGACCTCATGTCCCACGTATGTCTCGCACTTCATAGTTTACACACACTTTCATAAACTCTATCTTCTATAAGTTAAAAAAAAAAAAAGAAACAACCCAACAACTAAAGCCCCTGTGAGGTTGGTATCATTATCCCATTTTACAGATGAAGCAGCTCAGGCTCAGATGGGCTAAGTAAAATGGGCTAAGTAAACAGCTGCTGCCGGCCCCGTTTCCTAGAGGTGGTGCCTGTACTTGAAACTATATTTTCTGATATCCAATTCAATCTCTTTCCTGTTTCCCAGGTTGCTTCTTGGCTCACATTCACACGATAGACTGATTTTCAAGCTTTGAAAGACCATCCTTAGCCTCTCCATGCTTTACACACAACACGTCCTGTCAGTTGTCAGATCACAAACACTTCTACCTTTCCACTCCTTCCATCAAGGTCATAGGATGAGCAAGGTCATGGCTCCATGCCAGGGCCCCTGTTGCCCCCACGCCTCCAGCACCTGTGTTGGGGTGTAGACATCTGTGGGCTGTCTTCTCCTCGCTGTTTCCCTTCTCCCTTCATGATGGACCCTGATTGTTTGGCTTGACTACTTTGTATGTATGATGGATTTGTGTTTGCTGGATTAGTGTCTGATAGCCCTCTGTATTCCCTATAGCTGTGCCACTCAAGTAGTTGTCCTGTGAACTGCTTGCTGCTGGCCTGCAATGAGACAAGTAGCCATGCTGCAATGTGAACCGCACACAGCTTCCTTCGCTCACAAAGTTTTTTTTTTTTTTTTGAGACGGAGTCTCGCTCTGTCACGTGGGCTGGAGTGCAGTAGCTGGATCTCAGCTCACTGCAAGCTCTGCCTCCCGGGTTCACGCCATTCTCCTGCCCCAGCCTTCCGAGTAGCTGGGACTACAGGCACCTGCCACCTCGCCCAGTTAGTTTTTTTGTATTTTTTTAGTAGAGACAGGGTTTTACCATGTTAGCCAGGATGGTCTCGATCTCCTGACCTCGTGATCCGCCCGTCTCGGCCTCCCAAAGTGCTGGGATTACAGGCTTGAGCCACTGCGCCCGGTCACAAAGTTTTGCTCCAAAAAAAATGTCAGCTGAACTAAACAGAATGTTTTCAGACTGGCTTGATTTATATCCTGCCACAAAATCCTTATCTTCCTGTGTTTAAGAAACAGTTTGGGGCCGGGTGCAGTGGCTCACACCTGTAATCCCAGCACTGTGAGAGGCCCAGGCAGGCGGATCACTTGAGGTCAGGAGTTTGAGACCAGCCCGGGCAACATGGGGAAACCCCGTCTCTACTGAAAATACAAAAATTAGCCAGACATAGTGTTGTTCATGTGTAGTCCCAGCTACTCAAGGAAGGGCGGGTGCTGAGTTAGGAGGATCACCTGAGCCTGGGAGATTGAGGCTGCGGTGAGCCAAGATCGTGTCACTGCACTCCAGCCTAGGTGACACAGTAAGACCCTGTCTCAGGGAAAAAAACAACAACAAACAAACTACCATTGGGGCACAGCCCATACTCCGAGTTAGCTAAACTGTAACACCTCTGCACATAGAATGTGCTCAGTAAAAAGTTTGTTGAGTTAAAGGTAATTTCTCCCAAACTCGAGGAACATCATCTCTTGGAAGCTGCCCATTTCTATACCCATGATGGCAGAAGTGGAAAGGTGGAAAGGTTTGTGACCAGACAGCTGTCAGGACACACTCTGCCCTCAGTTTTTGCCAAAACCAAAACAACAATGATTACATAAATTCTCGCAGCCTCCCCTCAGATAACCAATTAACAGACCAGGGCAAACTGTTGGTAATTACTTTCTCTTTTGTGTTTTGTCTCTACTGAGGTTCGGGCTTCAACCAGGCCCCCCGCCACCTGGGGATGGGTGGAGAGTGTGTGCAGCCATCTGCTCTCTGCCTCGACCATGGCCCTGCGGATGCAGCCTGTGGCATCAAGGTGGAAGTGACCATAGGGAGGGAGTTGAGCAAAGCAACCTACCAGGGCTCTGGCTGCTGAAATCCTGTAAGTTTCTCTGCATGGTCCTGTATTTGTATTTAGCTTTATTTTTCTAACTGCAAGAAATAGTTTGACTTAGTGGAAATTCTCTAAACCACAATAACAATCCTCTGCCTACTATGCAACAATGGGTATAGCTCTGATGTTGTGCAGTAGGACAGTCCTGTGTTCTTCCTGGCTGTGTGACTCTAGGCAAGGAAATTAACCTCTCTGAGCCCCAGTTTATGCATCAATAAAATGGGAGTAAGAATAATCCTTATAGTGTTCATGTGAAGGTCAAATGAGATAACTTAGATGAAAGAATGCTCTAACCTGTTTAAAATGTTTTCTCTTATATAATAAATCCATTTTCTAAAGATTATAAAACAGGATCCTTTCTGGATTCATCTTCAGCCCCAAGTTAGGTGCAACTGTTACTTCAATCTCTTCAAGTTTGTTTAGAGAAAATAAATTGTAGTATGAATACTGGCTAGTGTGGCTATTAGAGGCTCTGGTACTTTTCCTTATGACACAAGCTGCCTTTCACACGTGTGTGCAGAAAATATTCTCACATAAATACCCAAATGTCCGTGGGTCCCAGCTCACCTGTCACTCCATTCTCAAAGCCTCCCCAGACACCCCTAATGGAAATTCATTTCACCTGTTAAATTCATATCATTTTAATTCAATGACCATTTATTTCAGCATTCTACTCAGGCTGGAGACTGGGCTAGACGCTAAGGATACAAAGATAAGACATGATCTCTTCCTCGAGGGATTGTGGTCTCCTTTATTGACTGTTACCACAAGTTACTGCCACAAAGTGCGAGGAGTGCACTAATAGAAGTATTAGTCAGGGTGAAGGGGGACATGCAAAAGGAAGTCCTCAACCCAACTGAAGCACGCTTAGGAAAACTTCACAGAGGTTGTGCCAGTTGGGTCTCAGAGGTGGAGTAGAAGTTCACCATCTGGTGGTGAGGAGACAGCACAAGCAAAGACATGACTGTATGAGGACGCCTCACACGTCTGGGGACTGCCAGAGTTTGGAGCACAGGACTCCACAGGAGTGGCCTGAGGTGAACGGGTAGGCGAAGGTAGGAGGAGAAGGTGAGGGAGGGTCTCTGGCGATTCTCGCATTCTATCCTGTGCTTGGTTGTGTCTACCCTCACCTTCCTCACTGGACTGTGAGATGGCTGGGGGGTCAGGACTTGAGGCTGACATGCTGCCTCCTTGGCGTCAGGCAGGATACTGGGCACAGAGTGGACGCTAAGACATAAAAATGGCGAGTGCAGACTGAAATGCACATCTGTGATTCCCACATCGGCTTCTCTCCCTGTCTCACAACAGTAGAAAAGGCTTCTGAAATACAAATCTGCACCAGACGTGCAGAGGTTATAATTCAGCCGGTCCCCTAAAAGCCATCCTTACACCTTCCTTTGGTGCTTAACCCACTTTCCAGATGATGCAGCACTGCTGCCTGCACAGGAGAGCTGAAAAGGGGGCCATTTCTGAAGGCAGGAAGGAGACAGCGCCCAGCCGAAGCTCTGCTGACCTCCCTGACAGGGGGGAGGAAGTCTTGTTTTGGAGAAACGACTTTCCAGTGCAGAGCTGGTGCCACACGCCCTGCATAAACCAGCATTCCAGGGTTGCCGATCTGCCTTCCCCAGAGTTAGAGCAAGAGTATTCCAGAGGCAAAGCTGTGGCTTAAAAAAAAAAGTCATGTTTAATTTAAAAATTAGAAACTGGAGCAGGCTGTGAGCACAGGGGTTGATTGAAACAAAATTTAAATTCCTGTCAAGCCCATTTAAACACGGGGGCCCTTCATAGACAATTAGCTGCTCCCTGTGAATGCTGAATAAACTCAGGCCTGGTCACTGTGAGAAGAGAGGCGCCTACTGTGAGGCGCTGAAAAAAAAAATTAACTAAAATCAGGCTGTATGAAATATTTAGCCTTCCAGTATATCACAGGGGTTTGAAAGTGTAAACAAGACAAAAATCGATTCCTCGGTGCCCTCAAATCAATCCCCCAAAATGGTTAGGGCATCTGTTTCTGCTAAATTTTGTTTACATCGGCAGATTTGCCTTAATTGCAGTTGTTTATCTCTCATTGTCCCTGGGGCCCTAATCTCCCGATTACTAATACTTAACACTCATTTCACATCTAAAGCTACTTCTAATCCTCAACAGGTTTGGGGGGCTCTTAAAATTATTGAAACTGCAGAGGCGGGAGACACTGCCTCTTTGTGAAAGGAACATTTTCTTATCTACTACCAGCTGGGCCCAATCATCACCAGGGATGGCGACAACAAAGGTGCTAAAAGGCTCTTCCACAATGACTGCTGCTCCACTGGGGATTCAGAGGAGAAAAAAGAGCTTTGATGGAAAAATCTGAACAAGAGGCTAAAGCAGTCCAGCCAAATAAAGTTACTGTCATAATCAAATGCTGTCAATCACCATGAAAATCCAATTAAAAATGTTTCAGCACAGCCCTCTTAAGTGGAAAAAATGTACCCTATTTATACAAATTTTTGTCAACTCCACACCAATCCCACAATTAGAAAGTCGTGCTATTAATTGAATCCCCCTCCCCCTCAAATTTAGAAAGAGATGCAGGCCATTCAGAAGCCTTCTGAGGAAGCTAAGACACACACAGGCTAACAATTAAGAGTTAATCGGGTTACATTTGAAAATTCCATTTTCATTTGTGTCAAGGGAACCTTTGCACAAATAAATGAATGGTACCTATTCTCCTACTTCAGAATCAGTGACCATTTATATGAAGAGAACAGAGAAACGGTAAACCAGGATACTGGAAAGAAACTAGTCCACGCTCCAGCAAATGTCTCTCAGTAGACCAAGGCCTAATGTTTAATTCTAATCTTGAAAATTAAATAGAGGATGGTAGGCCCAAACGTCTCCACTGCCTTTCTGTAGTCTCTAAATGGCCAAGTGAACCTCAAATTATCTGCAGGCAGATTTTGCCCCTCAAATAACTCCGTATCTGAAATCACAAGCCTCATAATTCCCAAAGGTCTCTCTCAAAACTGCTACAAATTAAAAAGCAAACAACCCATTAAACAAATCCAGCTGGTACAACTGTAAATAGGAGCTTTCTAATATTTTCCCCAGCTCGTAAAATTCCTGGTTAGACTGGTTAATAATTGATAAGAACTGCATCTATTTATCGGTGTGTACTCACAGGAAAACAACTTTGCTACCTTCAACAGCAATTCCCAAATCCCAGGGACTAGTTTTGGGATCCTTTTATATTTCTCCCACAAACGGCTGAATGTCTCTGGTCTTTTTCAACTGAATCCGTTATTCCCAAGAGCTGGGGAGTGGGTGGCATGCATCTGATGTGCAGACAGATAAAAACCTTCGGGTCCCCTGTCATCAATCTAACAGGCAAAGATGGTGCTAGCCAGGAGGTCTCCTCTAGGTTTTGGCTCTCTAATAACCTCTGGATGTGGAGTTACTTGCTTGAGGTAAATTCTCAAGTGGTCAGAATGCATGCCAAAGATCATACGTGCTGCCTATCACCACCTGGTTAGCACCTCCTAGCTCTGCCCATACATCCAGAGTGGGATGGCTAAACCCTGGAGCTGGTTCTGATTGGTAATCCTCATGCTATACTGGTTGTTAAATGTTTTGAATATTATCCCTGTATTCAAACATTCAATATTCAAATATTGCAATATCCTAGAAATTTTATTATTTTGGCACCAAATTTTCTAACTCCGATGATCTCTCCTAGCATGAAGTCAAACAAAAACCTTTTTTATCTGGCCACATATTCTAGTGTGGCCACCCTAATCTACACTGCATACTGTAATGTCCAGGGATTGCTTGTTCTTGGATTAGTTTCTTCAGCTTTACTCTGAGTTCCTGGAGAACCAGATATATGTCTTGTTTGTCTTTATCTGTTCAGTGTTTACTTTATCTGTACAGTGTTTTACTGGATTGGATTAGAGAGAATAGCATGTACAACCAACACTGTTTTGCCTAAATGACAGCAGACTAGGATAGGCACTGAATTATAAGATCATGATCCTCCTTCAAGGAACTTACAATCTAGTGGAAGAAAAAAGGTATTAAACCAGTGAGTTTCCCCTCTGGCTGTCCTTGTAATCACCTAGAGAGCTTTAAAGGTTAAAAAAAAAAAAAAAATTACCTGCTTCCTGGCCAGAGCTTCTTTGATCCGGGTTGGGATCCAGGCATTTTTTTGTTTTGCCTTTTAAACCTCTGAGGTGACTCTGATGAGCTGCTAGGGTTGAGAGCCGCTGTACTACATGGACTAACTTGTGGCCATAAGATGAAGATATAATTAGATGCTGCTCCAACCTAGACACAATACATGCTGAAGGGCTTCAGAGAAGGGAGCACACAACTGTGAAGGCGAAGAGTAGGGAAAAGCCGCAGGGAGGAGGACCAAGACCTTCCAAGGGAGGGGAGAGGAGGTTCCTTTAGGCTGAGGGCACCACTCAAATAACAGAAACTTCTAATGAGCTGAGTCATGGCCAATGAGGAACTAATGTGTAACGTACTTTAAAGACCCCCCTTAGCCTCCCCACTGCCGCGAGCTGCCGCGAATCTGGCATGGCACTGAAGAGCAGCCCGACTGATCCACTTTACTGCATCCAAGATAACCAAACTCTTCCTGTGTTCAATGAAGGCTACACAGCTTCACTGTGCCTTGAAACAAGGTACTGGGAAGATGATAGTCCAATAAAACACGAAAGAGGCATTACAGACATGAGTTCAAATAACTACAATCTTAAACAGGCAAGTCATCACTGTACTAAGAGATCTGACTTGACTGATGGAGGAAAAAAGTTATGCTTAACTGGGAAATTAAAACTGTCAGATCACCATGATCAAGGAATGACAGACTTTATCTATATCTTGCTTGCTATGTGCATGTATATAAAGACATATACATACACACACATATTTATCTGCTAAAGTCTTGTGAAAAGATTAAGTGGTCACATCTATGGAAAAACAAAGCCTGTTTTCTTAGGGTTATAATCTCTCTGTTCTTGCTGAAGTGCTAATGTGTCATCAAAAATTCAAATTAAAGCTGTCTGATTTAGTGCGATCTCAAGTATCCAGACAGTGATTCTGCCGTTGTAATTATGTGCAATTAAAAAGCTAAAATCAACTTCTTTACTAGTGGGTTCCTCTTTATAAGCAGACACAAACAGATGATTTTAATGGCCTTCAGAACTTAAAAAAAAAATCCCATGGTTGTCAGCTGGACCCTACGTGGGGCCCCCTTGCTGTTGTGATGACTTTTGTGCATGATGGAAATATTCAGTTGAAGTTACAATCCCAGCCAGTATTTCTCACTGCAAATTCTGGGTGGCATAGCTAATGAGCTACCTCCAAATGAACAACTGAAAACAAAATGATGTTTACAAGAATGAGTGGCCAGACACATTAGGAGTCAGGCCCTAAAGGTTCATTTTAAAACACACTCCATATGACACAGGTAATAGCCATCTGTAGTGAACTACATTCAAGTTCACAATTTATTAACCATCATTAGTATTTTAAAAAGCTTAGATTTTTGCAAGCACAGGGTGGATAAGCACTTTCTAAGGGGGCTATGGAAATGCACCTTTCTTCATATTTGTGCTCAGGGCACAGGTAAGCCCCAGATCAAAATAAACCAAAACTTATCTTTGGCACATTTAGTAGAATGTGGTGATTATTTCGAATTGATCTGAGCCCCATGTTTCTAGTAAGCAGTAACAGATAAGAAATCCCCCTACCCTTCTGCTAACCACAAAGGATCATGCTGCTCCCACAGAGGTAAGATCCTTTTCCATCTTTCCTCATGACTTCCCTAAGACTTGCTGGTGACCCCCTTGTTTACCTGCCTTCATAAGACCTCAGAACCCTCCCTTTTCTTTGAGCCATTCCTCAGTAATAAACACTCTCCCTACTTCAATAGCCTAAATAAAATCACCTTCTTAATTGTCCAGTGCATTTTGTCTTTTATAGCGGTCAGAAGATTTGGGTCTAATAAAGAAACAAAGTCATTTGGTGTGAAGCCCAAAGTCACACTGGAATTTGAGTGCTGGACAGACAAAAATCTAACATCATGGTTACCCGGATTTTTAAAAGGACCATGCAGATGTGCAATTTATCATATACCTTGATTAATTGAGAGAACAACCATCCATACTATCTGAAAATGTAATTACAATCAGGTTTGGAAAAGCAGAAAAGCTACTAGTGACAATTTAATTTAGAGGAGTTAAGTTAACATCTCTTAGCAAGTAATTAAATGTTTAAACAGATTTTTCTAGAGCAGTTGGGTGTTTATTAGCCCCAAAACATTACCACCTCTTACACATAAAGCCTTAGCTGAGAAATGAGATGTCTTCAAGTTTGCAGCTGCTAGGATGACATGAAGGAAAAAAATCCAAAAGTACTATTCTGATTTTAACTGATACCCCGCCTTCTGGACCCACGCCAGCTTGGTGTATTTCCAATGCCACTATTTACTTGCTTTCTAAGCAAAATGTCAAATTTCAATTGCAAACTGCATCCTGTGTTTCTTTTTAGGTGCCTGGATTGAAAACCAAACCTGAGGAAATGCTAAATGCCTTTAAAGGATGCCCTACTCTGGAATGTACAAGGAAATGCACAAAATAACAGGCATTACTAGAACCTAAGGAGAAAACCCATGTTTTTAAACAATTACTAAAGCAGTATAGTAATAGCATAAAGACAATTTCTTCGCCAGCTTGTTTCTCTGAAATTCTCTCTGCCACTGAACAGCTAGAACAGATAATAACTATTAGTAAATCAAACTCCTCTGCAATATCCAGCTGTGCCTCACACATTTACATACAGATAGAATGGGTATATGTTTTTAATATGTATGTGATACGTACTTTTACCACAGCCGAAGTGCATGCTACAAAGGAGGGGGAGAATGGGAATCAGATCAGCATGAGATAATAAAGTGGCCTAGATAAAGTATTAGCCAGCGATTGATCTCAAACCGGGATGCTGCTTCTTCTGACCTGATTACTTACTATGCATAGATTCCATTAAATAGAGCTTAGACACGGAAAGCTTCTGGAAACACTCTAAATGCATAGAAAGATCTACCGTACTCTGGGCCCAAATTGTAACTGTGTGGGTGCCCACAGCCCACACCTTCCCTGCTCAAGTTAAGGCCCACAGACAGGCTAGGCAGGGAGGTTAAAGGGCTGCCTGACGCTGGTGCAAAGCCCTGCTGAACCCCACAGAAAGCACCCCACTCCCACCCCCAAGCAGGCACTTTCCTGCGGAGTGAACACCTCCCTCCCTGTAGTCAGCTCCTGGCCAAGTAACTCTCAAGGACAGAAGCAAAGGAGCTTAACAATCACTGAGGGTCAGGGTCCCCTTTGAAAAATGAAACAGTCATGAATTCCTCTTTTTGGATGAAAAGGCACATCTCCACATGCATAGATAACTTTGGATGTAATTTCTGGGGCTCTGACTTCCTAAAGTCACAGACCATTGGTCAAGGGCTGCCCCCTCGGTTTTGCATATAAACTGAAGTGGAGAGGGGATGGGGAGTTGGCTGAGGTTACACAGTGAAGGGATATGGTGGAGGTTCTCCCTGCTAAGTCACATCCTGACCCTAGCTACCAAATAATTCTGAAGGAAGATTAATTCCTCAGAAGGAATTCCTGTGGTTTAGAGAAGCAAATCGTGTATACAGTAATGTCTCACATATCCCTTTTATTTCAAAATATTTAAACACAGAAGTTGAATAGCAAAACCAACCTGAATGCCCATCTTAATGCTCTCATCTTAGGCTGTCTTTGTTCCTGAGTTTAAGGGTCTGATTTTTATGTTTTAGGATCCTTCATTTTGATTATTGACAATTAAGGGAAATTTCTCTACCATCTTTGCACTATTGCTCTCTCCCTTCTTGCTGCAGTCCTACCAATCCTTTCCGACTGGCAAGGGGCTGGCTTTTTCCCACATAAGCCATGGAATCCCTGCATTGTCTGAAGCCTGCTGAGCATCCTGTCTGCTACCTCCTCAGGGTCTCCACTGTCTGAAAATTTGTCCCTAAGTTTATTGGTCCCAGTTCACAGAGCTGGGGCAGCACTGACACAGGTCTTTCCTGTGAGTTGCGGCAGTGTGATTTAAAAGCAGATTCTTTAACAATGGAATCATTGTCACAGGAAAAGAATTGGAGGTGGAGGTGGAGGTGGGGGTGGGGTTCTACCTGCCCGGTGTCGGCATGCTGAATGTTCTTGGCTGCCTACATGCTTACTTTACCTTTAAAGCAAGGTTTAAAGCTGACTCCTGATTTCTGCAATTGGCTCTTAAAGAGTTGAAAGTCACAACTTTTCAAGGATGAGGGACCTCCCTATACACGAATGGGAGTCCATTCAAGATAACTCACTCAAGAAAAAAGATCCATGTGGATGGGTGTGCTGTTTCCAGGGTTCCTTCTACAGAAGTGGAATGTCTTAAGAGATTGCCCAGCTGGTGGTGAATATGTTGCCTATTTGAACTCCACCAGGTCAATGTCGAAGGGGTTTCTGTTCCAGCAGGCACTAGAGGCTTCACATTGCTCTGAAAATGTCTGAGACCGAGATATACTTATGCTTTGCCCATCCTGTTTCCTTTGCCTGGAATGGCCCCTTCAAAGCTATTAAAATTCACTTCATCCTCCAAAGGCACCTTTCAAATGCTACCTTCTCTACCCAGTTTTTCCTCATTTCCCCAAATGGATCTCTATAGAACTCTGCAGTTCTTTTATAATAGTTACTTCATTCTAGTTATCTGTATACTTACTATAGCCCGAAAAGACTATCTGTGTGGCTTCCTCTACTTTATATCTTCTGCTGAATCTAGAACAAGACTATGCACAGTGGTCTATCAACTACCAAATTCAATTATTTACTGGGTTCTGAGATCTCTTAGGATGCTGTAGATGCTGATGATAAAACTTTTGAGAGAACTTCTGACGTAGCTTAATGGCTACATGCCAGAAAACCACAGCAGCCCAAATGTATCCTGGCCTCCTCAAAATGTGGGCATTAAATGAGTTTCTTGGTCCAACTTTAAAATACTTTCACTTAGGATATAAAAACCGAAAACTATCGTAAGAACAACCACACAAAGTGGAGGGCATAAAATAACTAAACAACTAAATGAGTTCTAACACCGAGATTTAAATGGTCTCCAAATTCCAACCTTGAGTTTTACACTCATCTTTAAGACTCACATGGTCAAAAACTGCCAAGATGATGATTTTATGACTCGATAAGGGGTATTCTGGTATAAACAGTGACCCTACCACCTAAATGCCCACTCTGCATTGCCCAGACCCAGGAGTAAGGGTGATCTGGCCCACCAGTCCTATATTCTGATTTACTTAGGCTGGGATTTGCTGTGTTCGCTGGTCAAGGTCACATCTGGAGTTCATATAAGAGTTCTCAAATAGTGAATTTATAACTTCCAGTATTTCCAGCTGCCCATCTCTAATTTTCTTTCTTTGATTTGGAAATGGAGGCCTACAGGGAAACCTTGACAATCCTGCAGACCTCACATCTGAAGCGGCCCATGCAGCCCATGCTGGTACCCTGCTGGCTGGAGTAACCGTGCTTGGGAGATAAACTGCTCTTTTTGTGAAAGGCACAGGCCCCCACCCAGAGTGACAAATGGGCTCTACAGTTCATGCATTCCAGAGGAGGCTCTCGGCTTCCAGATGGGAGCACCATCAAATAGGTTGTAGGCGGGGAGAGAAAAGGAAAAATTAAAGCCATTAATATGCTGGAAGGAATAAAGAGGCTGGTTCCTTAAGATTGGGCCCCTAGGATGTGGCTCAGGTTCCTTAAGACAAAAGAAAACCCACTTTCTTTCCCATCCCTTATTGGGCCCAGTTTTTGCCCAAAGTCCAGGCAGGGCTCACTCTCTGACCACAGCAGCTTCACATATAGTCTATTGTTCCCTGCCTCCTCACTGAGCCCTGCCAAAGCAGTGGTGCCTCACCACTGCTATACCTCTGGGAATGCATTCATTTAAAATCAAACAGTGAGCAGTACTAGAAATAATGTTAAATTAAGTATGGAATGGTGCTTCCTGTGACTACATTTTTCATTGTATTTTATTGATTTATTGATATTTATTAATTAAAAATGTGGGACAGCACACAACAGGGTGTAGAGTTGTAAAGAGATATATCTAAATACCTATGTTCTCTCTCTCACACACACACACACACACACACTCACATATCACTTGCTTTCAAGGTACTGAAAGTACTCACCCTTTAGCCTTGTCTTTATGATGTGCCACCCTGGAGTGGTGTTCCTTACCAATATATACATCCATATACATTTATGGGTGTATGTGTGATCTGCAGATGTTTTATTTATAAGTGGCCAACTCATTGCAGCATTGAAACATGCATTTACAAACAAATATCTGTTTTATGAAATGTTATTCCTTTGTTTTAATAGCTGAGCTATCCAGCCATAGCACAATAATACACAAGGTAAATGGGTCTCCATCTCTAGAACCTGTTCCAAGTTTTCTCAAATGTGACTAACTGCAAGAATTTTCCAACCATCAAAGAGACCAAAAAAAGAGACCAGTTTATTCTAGACATGAAACCTGCAGAGTTATAAATTGCAGAGGTTTTTAGGGGTGATCTTTAACTTGAAACTACCCTGAAAACTGAGATTTTGCTCTAGGGAACACGAAGGAGGAAAGTACCTTCCTGAAAAGCATTCATGATGCAAAAAGGAAACGTACTGTTATTTTACATTCAAGGATGAAATCCATATTATACAGAAGTTGGGGCACTGCAACTGTTTATTAGGTTGGAATACAAAGGATGAAAACCTCTGAAATGGTATCTGTAAAATGTGTATTATTTAAAGAAAGTGAAAGAAAATTGGTAGGAATTTGCTCTGACTGTAGAAATCTAAAGGCAGGGAATGGTATGCAAAACATTAGACAGAACAGACTATAATTATTATTTACTAATGCTCGATCCTAACGTTATTCTAACAGCTTGTGCATTGTCAAATCAACAATCTGCACTAAATAAATGACCATTTGGGAATTGTTAGGAGCATCTCTGTTCCTCTCCCTGCTTGACTAAAAACTGTCATTTGCAATCAAAGAAAGCTGCCTTGGAGCTGAGAACACAGCACTGGCAGCCTTGTAGCTGTCTCTTTCTGAGGAAAGACCAAAGATTCACATTAACTTGATCTTTTGCAGCCAGTCTGATTTCATTCTACATGAATCTAAGAGGACTCCACGCCACATTCAGAAATTTTTTGCAGAATTGCACTAGAAACTTATTGCACTGATGATCTTCTGTTACCAATCCTCTGAATTCTAAAAGGTTCAATAGCAAATGAGGATAAAGAGTAACCTACATTAAGTTTGTGACCCTTGATGAGGCAAATGAAAAGAGTTCTGCATTAACTTTCAAAAAGGTGGTGGGTTTTTAAAAAGTAAAAACTATTATCTGAGGATATGAGCTTCAAAAACATCTACCCAAATGAAGTAAATAATGTTGCCTTTTCAGAGCCTATGGCTGTTTTAAATTCCATTCTGGACTTTTAAATAGAATGTTAAACATAAATATATAACTGAGAATTCTAATGTAACTAAAAAAATACACTTACCATCAATTCTTCAGGTGCTGGCCTTTCTTTTGGCTGTTTTCGCATACTATAGTGGAGAGAAAAAAACTGCTCATATTATCTGTGTCATTTGTATATTTTTGCTGTAATTTCTACCCATGGCTATTTGTACTGGAATTTGAATGTTTTCAAATTCATCATGTTCAATTCTCGGCCAAAGTATTAGCATATATTCCCTTTCTTTTATTTTTGTCTTTACTTAATCACATTTCTGGGGGACATTATGAGTAAGAAACAAAAAGTTTTTTCTTACTTTTTCACTTAAAAAATATTTTGCAACACAATAAAGAATGAATTTAAACTAAATGTATCCTAATTCTACTTTTGAAGTTAATGTGAAAAAAGCAGCAATATTCTCTTATTGACTCAATTATCAATTTATTTCAAACTTAAATTTACGGAATAACCTTTTTTTTTTTTTTGGTAATTGGGATAAGACAGTAAGGAAAGAAACATGACTGTAGAGTCAAATGAGAATACATCTCATTCTTTCACTATTACTCCAAATGGCAAGAAGTATATAAAACAGGTCAGGAATCTAGATAATGCTACAAAATTACAAGTGGCTTGCTGTAGATTATCTTGACTTGCATTTGTTTTGGCAACAAGGCAAGTTGATAATTCATTAAACCACTGTGGGACAGCTAAATTTGTTTAAGCTGCTTAAAGAATCACATTCTTCATACAAAATATTTGTTTTCCATGCATTAGATATAATTAGTAGCTGTAACATGTACTTAGCTATGTGATGAAGCACTCACACATGGGATGAAGGTGACTGGGCAGCTGCCTACTTGATGACTGTATCTGTTCTAAACTCAGAGTGTCCATGGGATAAAGTCATGAAAAGAGATTGCTGCTTCTATCACTTGGAAAAATCACACAGATGCTTTTTTCTTTATATAAGGCATTCTTCTAACAAGCAAGAAGAAAACTCTTCACATAATCTCTGCATTTGCTGACAATACCTTTTTAAAAACAGATTTAATGATCATTTGGTAAACAAGAGTCGGAGTTATGAACCATTAATAACATCGAGGACATTTGCCTTCCCTATAAATAACCATATGCACCTCTCAAATACTGCATCCATTAGCAACTAATTCAAGCTGTCTCGCCAGTGGAGTTGGTAACAGTCCTAATCTGACATTCCAAAGTAGCTGTATCTCTTGGGAAAACAAGGCTATTACCCACTATCATTTCTGTTTCGGCTTGACATCTGTGGAAATTTGAATACAGGTTATCCCTCCCTCTGTCTCCATAAAACTTTTAAATAATAGCTGATTAATTTTTTGGACAGGAGGGAGGTGAAGCCTTATCCACTTTTCTCCCTGCTGCTCAGACCAGCCCCACCCCCAGGTTGGTCTCAGACCACACGGCGAGATAAGATTAGCGCTGCGATCCTGTCACAGATCCAACATCTCCTCCAGAGCAGAGAGGGTGATGCCCAAACCAGGCGCTCCAGGCAGTAGAGGAATCGCATGGTTTGTGTTTCAATTTTTGCATTTCAAAATGAGGCATTACCATGTGTAAAACACAAGGTACACATTACCATGTGTTTTAGGAATTCCATGTAAAGGAAATTAAGAGGGATATATATTTCTGGGTAACGGGTCTAACATCATTAAGGAGCTTTAAAACAGCTCAGGATTCCGGTGTTTAATCAATATGTATGCTTTTTTCCCAACATGGCATGCTTTGGAAATACAATGTTTTCAGAGTAAAAATAGTTTTTAAAAGCTACACTATATTATATAAGTATTTTAAATAAATAGAAACAGTGTCAATAAAATTTTTTTAATTGGGGAGAAAAATTTCTTCCCCACATATATTTTCTATGGAATATAAACTGTATGAGACATTTTTATTAAGAGGTAACATGTTACACTTAGTCAAAAAGGTGATAAAGCTTGACATTTATATTAAGGAATATTTCTTGGTTTCCCTTTAGCGTAATCATGAGACGGGTCATGGTGGGAGGGGAAGGGGATGGCGCACAATGATTTTGGTTAGCAAGAATCCTGATAGCATTACTTTGCCACACCACAGAAACAAGGGTTTCTTTCGGTGGGGTCTGCCCATTCATTTTCCAGCAGTGGACATGACTCTGGGAGAATGAGGACTTTGGTGAAGGAGGGAAAGAAGACCAACGTAGTTAAGAAGGAGTTGCGGTTGGTTTTGTCTCCTGCTTTGAGGACGATGATTCCTATGTTCCTGAATTCCTCCTCTCTCCTGGGAAATTTCTCTGTGCTGGAGTGAGGGAGAGGGCAGGGGAATACCTTGGCCTCCCAAGGTCATATCAGTCCTGCAGGACGAGGGAAGAGGGAAATGATGGTGAAGGGGTAATAAAAGAAAGATGTGGTCTGCTAGGAGGAAAAAGGCAGAAGGCTGGCAAAGAACCTCCTTGGCAATAAAATGCTTGTTTCTCCAGGTATAAAATGACAAGGAGTTGCCTAGAGGCTCTGAGGGCCCCTGTGGCTCTTCTCAGTTCTTTAAGGGTTAAAGTGGGCTGAACTGTTTTCATAGTCTTCTAAATGTCAAATTTCATGAAATGGGACCCCAGTATTGTATTTAAAATACAACCAAAGATAAAAGTTATTTACTGAAAATCCGATGAATTAATAAACTATGCTGCTTCCACTAAGTGACAGACAGTTTTATGGGTAACTTGAGGTTACATTAATAAAAATAAGCTTTGTATGTCTGTTCAATAGGGGCTATAAAATTGTGTATTTCTTTTTTTTAAAAAAGGATGGCAACAGTATCTGTGCTTAAAGAAGTATCTTGACTTTCAGCAGTTTATTAAATCAGGAAAAAGGTTCTGAAGTATGCTTATGACCCTTTGTGTAAATAACGTTTACATAATTTAAACAATTTCTTCAGCTTTGCCGCCCCATCTGCCCAAGGCCCCCAAGTCCCTCCTGTCTCCAAAAGGAAGTAGGGAGAGCCATAAGGTCTCACGGAGCTGCCGAGTTAATGGCATGTATCATTTACATTGAGGGCATGGCATGTTTGTAAACGGGCTCACCACTGAGTGATGAAATGTACAAACGGCTCCGAGAACTCTCCAACTGGAAGGACGGGCGAATCCTGGGATGGAGGAAAAACATGTCACCAAAAGTCACAACAGTTCCTTCTCTTTCTTTATATTCCCCATCCACCCATGTGAAGGAGCAGTGTAAAGATGAATACAATGAAAATAAGGCCTCACCCAATTAAAAAGACTGTCTTTACCCTATTCCACACATTTAGGTAAAAATGCCAAATTTTAACCCACACATATTTTACAATGGTGAGAAACATGAGAGCTGAGAGAGAGGGGAGGTGAAAAAAGGACAATGATAGCCACAGGGTAGGAGAGAAGGTAGGGAAAGTGTAAATGAGAAATTAATGATTATTTAAGTAACACACAAATGGTCTTGTAATTAACAAAGAGCTGTGAAATTATTCTTGTGTTGACCTTTGTTTCTTTTACTGGATTTGCTATTTATTTACACTTTCCTTTTTACTTACATTTATTTGTATATTCAACTGCCCTTTACTGTTTGCCCCTAATAGAATAATTTGGATCAGATTTTTTTTTTTTTTTCACTTTAATAGAAAGGCTTTTATAGGGAAAGCTGTTTCCTGAAAAGGAATTTCAGCCTATTTGCCAGTCTAGGCAGCCTCCTCATATGAGAAAGCCAGTGAATTAAGGATGCAATGAAAAACTCCCAACTTGACCACCAACCAAAACTGGGATGGAGGTGGGAGTCAGTCAAAAAAGCAGAAAACCACACAGCAACAGACCACCACCACCACCACGCGACACAGAGAGCAAACCTCATTACCGTTTGCAAAGGAAGGCTTTAAGAATTTAGGAGTTTTTCCAAGAATGACAGAGAGCGCCACTGTGTTTATAGTGTAACAGCTCAGGATGTAATGAAATTACACTGCAGAGTACTTTAACAGTCATCTCATTAGACCTACAGTTGGAACAAGAGAGCCACATAAAGTAGGCAGCTGCAAATGACTCCATTCTCATCTATTCTCATTTGCTATTAAAAATACCTTTCGGCGGCTTTTTTCCTCCCTGACATCCCTACACAAAGTGCCCTGCAAAGTATGATACATGCACCTATTTAAATTAACAAAGGAATGACTTATTTTAATCTCACTGTGCTTTGGAGTGCTTTGGCCATTTGGATGAGCAATATATCATTACATACAACCTTCCAGCGCTGCAGGCAAGAAACTCAGAGCATGCAGCATTTGGTGGGAGCCAAACAATTTCTCTAGCACACAACTGTGTCAAATGCATGCATGTATTCATTATTGAGAACGAGAGGAAATAGCTTTGATGTAGTGGAAAAAAGAAGATGATAAAAGCACCTCTGCAATATGTGTATCATTATCAATGGTGGCAGATAGATACAATTGCACAGCCTCCTATGTGATTAGTAAATATACATATAATTGCTGTGGCCAATTATCAGAAAAATGAGATCGGTAATTACAAGACAGAAAATTAACTAGAACTCTTATTAAGGCTTTGTTTCCAATTCAAACAATTGGAAACTGCTGGATAATACAATTAAATCAAAGGAACTAAGGGGGTCAAGGCAGCCAAAAAACAAAACAAAAAACAAAACAAAAAACAAACAACAAAAAAACCCAAAGAGGCTATAAGAGAAGAAACATGAACAAAATGTTTCTTGGTTTTTGCATATCTGTCTTCTTTGAATTTAATCTATTCATGCAGAAGAAGGGATGGTTAGTAATTCTAAAATTAAAATTCTCATCAGTAGAGAAAGGCTAAGAGGAAAACAAAGGAAAAATGGGAGTGAAATAAAATCTTGCCAAGTTCAAAGGATTACATGCAGGCATTACATAGAGAGGACATGAAAAACGGGGGTGGATGTGTGGCTGATGAAACAGTCCACTCAAAAGAAACAAGACACGAAATAGCATGACAAGTCCTCAATAAAGGTATATAAAATGGCCACAGAAGTCCCATCGGTTTGAAGAGCAAAAATAAAACATGATATCAATTTCAGTTGCAGCCTGTTTTAGGAAAGCCATATATATCACCAAGCCTGTAAGATTCTACAAGGCCCAGTTCAAGAAATGACATTTTACTGTCTCAAAAACCATTAGTAAAAAGATAGTTCAAAGTCTGAGGTGTAAAAATTATGGACTCTGATCAGTGAGGAAGCTTCTCTAAGTCATCGCTTCATGGATTTCTTTTAAGGGTGTAGTACTGAAAGTACCTGAGTAGTAGTTGCTCTAAAATGCAATATTTAGGAAAATAAAAGCCTGCTATCTTAATGTGGTTCCATATTTACCAAGATGGTTAAAATTCTGGACTGACTTTCTATAAATATCCGGTATAAAACATGATGCTAATGTGGGCCTCTTCTCAAAGTATGATATCAAAAGTAAATTAATGAATTATAGACTAGCAACATGATGAAGAAGTCATGTAAAAACGGATGAGAAACAAAATGAGGAAATGTGACATTTTGCATGGGTAGTTAATTTTATTTAAGACCTGATATTGTAGCCTGTTAAGTTCCTCATATTATAAAACTAAGGAACACTGGGTGGTACCCATGAATAATTTATTTCACTTCCTAAAATGCCAGCCCAAATCGACTTTGCAGAACCACAGCGAGTGGATTCTCATCTCAGTGATGCCTGGAAAGAATCACTCATTAAAGATGTGGGGGAAATTCTAATCTCACATGCACAATGCCAGATATTTATTTTTGTTTTAAAATCCATGTCTCCTGCATCCCTCAAGGGAGAATCTTCTGAGATGCAGAAGACGGACTGGTAGGGGGATGGTGAGAATGCCACACATAAACACCGGGCAAAGGCATTTTCTGAGAGTCTCCAACTCCACACAAGTATGAAGGCTGTTAACACTCCAAAGGAAAGCAAATGAATTTGTTCATGAGAGTGTTCTCTGCACTGCAGGACTTGACAGTATACTTTTCTCTTTTTAAAGCAAATACAATTACAAAGTTAGTTTTGATCAGGATGTGAAAGATCTCCAAGAACCTGCCTATTTTGTTATCTAATTCAAACATGTCAGGAGGGAGGCATACAGTAAATATGCGCTCCGGTTTCACTGTAGCTCACAGGAAGGGAAAGTACCTAGTCATCGGAGGGGTTCAGAGACTCTAGTAAAGCAGTTGCTGCTACATCCCAAAAATGCCCTTTATGAAATATGGGTTCTGGCAAGATGGAGAAATATATTTCAAAAATTTAAATGTGGGTTGAAGAAGCAGTTACACTGAATTCTCAGTACTGGCTGACACTGACTCTAAATTGTTAATGAAAGTCACTCTCTTTAAGACCTTGGGTGCCATACTTCACCCAAAGGGCTTTTTTTTCAGATGCTTTTCCATTGAACTTCTAAGCACAGAGGTATAGAACGAAGCAGTGGACACAACCTTAACCAAAAGCCTCAATCTGAGAGTCTAGTCTCAAATCAACTTTAGAGTTCTGCTGAAGTGACACAAGCTGGTTCTTGTTATCAAGCAGGCAACTGTTACATAAAAACAGCTGCCATAAACCATTTTAGTAAGCAATTCTGGTCATCAAGGAGGACAGTCTCCAAGCCTCAGAGGTTTCAGTAACTACCTGGTCAGCCCCTTTTGCTAAACAACTGGAACACAAGCATGCAGCACGCTAGAGAACAGTGAAGGACAATAGGAAAAAGTTTGAGTGATGCCTTTGCCTTGTGAATAATGAACAGTTCAAGAAGGTCAACCCATTACAACTGAAACTGATTAATTATTAATTATGCACAATCTATGAGCAAAAGGACAAGTTCAGAATGCTTAATGTATGTTAACTTCAACTGGACTCTCTCTGGGTATTTTGTTATTAGCACTTGTCAGCAAGGTACTCAGGCATAAAAAAAGGCAAGTAGCAGAAAATGTGTGTGTGTGTGTGTGTGTGTGTGTGTGTGTACCTGCACACTCAAAGAGCTGGTGGAGGAGACAAGGCAGGAAGAGGTCCAATTCACAGCTGCTGCTAGTTCACTTACAGAGTAAGTGTGCCAATAAGTATATTTAGTGACCTTGAAAGCAGGCAGATAAGCTGGATATTCCAAACACAGAAATCATCAATGAGAAAAATGCTTTCAATATTCAAGGAATATTCTTTTTTTAAACTATAACGTATCTTGGCTTTAGAATAATCTGTGTTATTAATCTACCCTCCACCCTGCAACTCCCCACCCCCACACAAGTGCATGTAAAACTGGTAAAATCTGAATAAGATCAGTGGTTTGTGTCTTGTATCTACGACAATTTTCTATCTACAGTATAGATACTGTACTATACTTTTTTTTTTCAGATGGAGTCTCGCTCTGTCACCCAGGCTGGAGTGCAGTGGCGCGATCTCGGCTCACTGCAACCTCTGCCTCCTGGGTTCAAGCGATTCTCCTGCCTTAGCCTCCTGAGTAGCTGGGACTACAGGCGTGCGCCACCACGCCCAGCTAATTTTTGTATTTTTAGTAGAAACGGGGTTTCACCATGTTGGCCAGAACGATCTCCATCTCTTGACCTCGTGATCCACTGGCCTCGGCCTCCCAAAGCGCTGGGGTTACAGGCGTGAGCCACCACGCCCAGTCGATACTGTACTATACTTACGAGATGTTACTGTTGAGGCAAACTGGGTGGAAGGTACACAGGATCTTTCAGTATTATTTCTTACAACTGCATGTAAATCTAAAAATTATGTCAAAATACAAAGTTTAAAAAGAAAAGGTAAGGGACAGGGGCTATTTTTAAACAATTAGATGAGGCCTAGATTCTTAGTAGAACTCTGCTTTGTATAAGGGAGAACGCTGGCATAAATACTCAACTGGAAAAAAGTTAAGGGCCCTTTGCTTAAAAAAATATTCCTGAGGACTATATTTTTGCCTGTAATTCATAATTAAAGGTGACAGTGGGACCTGACAATAATGTGGTGATTAATTCAGACACTGATAAGGCATAACATAAAATACTGTGTAAAAATGATACAATCATTCATTATTCATTCATTCATTCAACAGCTTTTGTGGGCATCTACCATGTGGAACGCAATGAGCCTGG